CCACAGGAGGGAGTGGGCCCTCCCCGAGAAACTTAAGATCACAGAGGGGTTTGTGACACATCTAGCAGACACTTAACCTCTTTGTCTTCAGGCTGTTAGAGATTTTGCCTTTATAATATCTGTAGCCTCGAGCAATATGGGGTATGGTGTGTGTGTGTGTGTGTGTTTGGGATTGACGTGCTTGATATGTGAACTTATGCAGTCTGCTTCTCTCACCAGTATTTGGTTTCTACATGTACTGTTTTCACTGTTGTACAGTAGTCTACCTTGTGAAGGTGTCATGAATTTTTCCTCCTTCCCCCCACAGTTGCCATTGATGCACAGCTGGGAAGTTTGCAGTTTTTCAATGTTCCCAACAGTGCTTTAGTGGGCATCTTGAACATGTGTTCTTGCAAAAAGGGGTAAGGGTTTCTCGAGCCTGGGGTTTTCTTTTACTTTCTTTCTTTTTTTTTGACCCAGGCATTATAAGAAACACACTTACATTCATAACCCATATGCCTATGTAACTGGAGCAAAAGTTTGGTGAAATAACACTAAGGGCAAGGTCCTCTTATGTTAGTTTTGAATTTTTTTAAATTTTATTTTAAAGATTTTTATTTATTTATTGAGAGAGAGAATGGTAGAGAGAGAGCATGAGAGGGAGGAAGGTCAGAGGGAGAGGCAGACTCCCTGCTGAGCAGGGAGCCCGATGCGGGACTCGATCCTGGACTCCAGAATCATGACCTGAGCCGAAGGCAGTCATTTAACCAACTGAGCCACCCAGGCACCCTAGTTTTGAATTTTTAATGTTGATCTACCACATGCTTTGCATTTTAAATTTCGATTTCAACCCAAAATTGTTCTTCAAAGGGGCTGTACCATTTTTTCTGCTAATAAAGATATGTTAATGATAATTAACTACCCATAATATTAACTGGGAAAAACATAGAAAAGGACCCAAAATTGTATATACAGTTTGACTTCAACTATACCAAAATGATTCTCTAGGAAGAGAACAGGATATATATATATTTTTTTCCTTTCTTTTATTTATTTGTTTGTGTGACAGAGAGAGTGAGAGAGGGAACACAAGCAGGGGGAGTGGGAGAGGGAGAAGCAGGCTTCCCGCGGAGCAGGGAGCCCGATGCGGGGCTCGATCCCAGCACCCTGGGATCATGACCTGAGCCGAAGGCAGACGCTTAACGACTGAGCCACCCAGGTGCCCATTTTTTCTTCTTTTAAATGAATGACTCTAGCTTGGACTGCTGGGGTGGAGGGGGTGCAAAGTGGTGGGATTCTGGATGAATTTGAAAGTCAGAGTTGTCAGATTAGATGTGACTTTTGAGAAAAGACACAGAATGGGGGATAAGGCCCAGGTTTCTGGCCCACTCCACTGGAAAAATGAAGTGGTGAGAGAAGAATGGCTGCCAAGGACAGTTAATATCATAGTTGGGCTGCCTCTTACTTAAAGTGATGATCCAGTGTTTAAGAATCAACATAGCAACAAAATAAAACAAAACACAGCAGAGAGCAGCAGTTGTTGAGAACCCTGTTTTCTTCGGAAGAGAGGACCTTTTGTTTTTCATAATTGAGAGAATAACTAAGTCAGTCCGAAGCATAAAGAGGTGTTTGGTGAGGTGCAGCATCTCTGTGCTCTGGGCTGATTACACAGGAAGGAAAAAGAAATACGGAGGATGAATGAAAAATGATAGCATCAGGAGGATCCCTGGATGGAATATGAGTAATCATGAGAGATAGGCGAGATTTCAGATGTCTGTCCTTCCATGATGCCTTTTACTAAAAATGATCCTTAGGAAACAAGGTATTAAAAGCATTACTCTGGGCATGAGAGGAAGGTGAGTGTGGTTATAAATGGGCAACATTTTGGCATTGGAACTGCTCCAGAACCTATCACTGTGATAAAATTGTGTAAAACTTGATACACACACAAGCAAATGAGTACAACTAAAATTGGGGAAATGTGAGTATGATCAGTGGATCATATGAAAGTTTTTATTCTAGCTGTGATATTTTCTATAGTTTTGAGAAATACTACTCTTGGGGGAAACTCGATAAAGTGTACAAGGTGCCATTCCCTAATCTTTCTTACAAATGCATGAGAATCTACAGTCATGTTCAACAAAAATTTCAGTTAAAAAAATACAACACAGCACCCCGTCTGGAGTTCCTTCTCCAGAGCCTGAAATACATCATAACCAACTACTGGGTATCTTTGGCCTGAGGTGAAGAGTGGTGCATAAGGAAGAACCCCAGAGACCAGAGTAAGCTTGAGTTCTTGGATGTGTGACCTGGATATGATGTGAAGAGAGGACATGGGTTTATGGGTAGACATGGAGAGATTGTGAATCGTCTGACAAGAGCCATGAATGTGAGGAGGTCATGAGGGTCTGGAGCAGAGGTGGCTCTCTGTTGTCCTGCATGTAGATCTGGTCTAGCTAGGAGTCCTGAGAATTGAGAGAAAAGGGGTAGTTCTCTAGAGTGAGATGGTCCCCAGAAGCTGTGAATCCTTTCCCCTGTTTGAAAGCTCTATAACAGCTGTGGTCATGGGAAACCTGCACGTGCATTGCAGGGCTCTCTCTAGTACTGTTGCAAGGTGGTGGAGCCAGGGTCTAACTAGAATCATGACCTGCACTCTCACACACCTTACACCTTCAATGAAGCCTGTAGGTCTGTGTGTGGATCCAGGGGGTTGGGAGCTGCATGATCAGTCATCAAGAACTGAGCTGTAAATGGGATTGTTGGGTGTCAGTGGGTGGAACAAAGGGCAAGTGCATATGGCAGCTGGTGGGATCATAATAAATGTCCATAGAGTTCTTGACCTATGATAGGGAGGGCCAGGATGCTGCTTACTCATGCCTTGGGAGAGGGAAGAGAGGAGGTTTCTCCTTAACAATCCACCCCACCTTGACTCCTCTTCTGGTAAGACAGCCCACTTTGGGAGGTATTTTTCATTTTCTGCTAAAACTAAAAATCTCTAGAATTATTTTTATTCTATATAAATGGCTCCATCCTTTATCATCATCATGAGCTCTTCCCACCCTGCAGGTCTATACCTGAACAAAATCCATGTATGCCTGGCTTATTTTGGGGTGTGTGTATGATTTTTGAAAAATTTCCATGGAGGGCGCCTGCCTGGGTGGCTCAGTCGTTAAGCGTCTGCCTTCGGCTCAGGTCATGATCCCAGGGTCCTGGGATTGAGCCCCACATCGGGCTCCCTGCTCCGCGGGAAGCCTGCTTCTCCCTCTCCCATTTCCCCTGCTTGTTCTCTCGCTGTCTCTCTGTCAAATAAATAAATAAATAAATAAAATCTTTAAAAAAAATTTCCATGGAAATATACAGGCTGAAAAATATAAATGTACAGCTTAAAATTTTCACTAAGTAAACATACTTTGGGTCTGACTTTTTTTTTTTAAAGATTTTATTTATTTATTTGAAACAGAGAGACAGTGAGAGAGGGAACACAAGCAGGGGGAGTGGGAGAGGGAGAAGCAGGCTTCCTGCTGAGCAGGGAGCCCGATGCCGGACTCGATCCCAGGACCCCGGGACCACGACCCAAGCCATAGGCAGACGCCTAAGGACTGAGCCACCCAGGCGCCCCTGGGTCTGTCTTTCATTTAACATTATGCTTGAGGTTATTTACCCATATTATTTTGTGTACTTGTAGTTCATTTACTTTTGTTGATGTGTAGTATTTCATCATGTGAATAAATCACAATTTATTCATCTCCACCTGTTTTTTTTGACATTTGGGTAGTGTCCAGCCTTGGGCTGTTATGAACCATGTTACTGTGAATCTATGAACACATTTCTCTTGGTTATACACCTATGAGTGAAATTGCTGTCATAGGGTGGACAGAGGGTCACTTTTAGTAGATTTGCATCTGGCCAATTTTAATATTTACATGCCACCACTTTAACTCCTTTTTTTCCCCTCTAAAGATCCAAATATTTTCTCCCTTTCTCCCTCCAGTCTGGGAAACAAAGGTCAAAATGGAAACATCAAGTCAGGATGTTGTTGGGGTAGAACCATCTAATTTCATGAAAATGCAAAGATTCATGAGGGATGATTCCTGTTTATATACATTAGGAAAAATCTGAGAATGTGAGGAACAGGTAGAAATGCTTTATATCAAATCCTGAAAAGCATCTGAGGCAAACAGCATCCACACAAAAGAACAGGAAGGTCTGGTGAAAGGCTGTGGTGGTTGTGAATATGGAGAGAGCGAGTCTATGCTCAGTCTTTGCTCCATCTCAAAAAGGTCCTGCAACAAAAGCTTTCTGTGAACATGACTCAGATGTTAAGCATTCCTGTTACATATGTAATTGTTGGAAAAGCTGTGAAGGTCACACACTTGATGAAAAGGACTACAGGGGCACCTGGGTGGCTCAGTCGTTAAGCGTCTGCCTTCAGCTCAGGTCATGATCCCAGGGTCCTGGGATTGAGCCCCACATTGGGCTCCCTGCTGCGGGAAGCCTGCTTCTCCCTCTCCCACTCCCCCTGCTTGTGTTCCCTCTCTCGCTGTGTCTCTCTCTGTCAAATAAATAACCAAAATCTTAAAAAAAAAAAAAAAAAAAGAAGGAAGGAAGGGAGGGAGGGAGGGACTATAAAACAGCCATCAGCCAAGCTGGTCAGGTTGGCCACCTTGGTGGAAATCTAACAGGAGATGAGCCCTCCGGATGTACCAAAAGTGGTAATTTTACAACCATTCTGCACCTCTTAGCGAACAGGATGTAATTATCAGAGAAAGGCAGCCACGCAAAGGGGTGGGATGTGAGGAGGTGTTTGATCAGGGTGCGTGCTCTCATGAGCAGAGAAGAAAGAAATTTGAAATGAATGCTATGAATGCAACAAATTTGGACAATCCTTCAGACAAAAATCTCACTTCCTTGGGACCAGAGGACTCCTACTGGAGAGAGACTTTATCCCTGTAATGACAATGACCGTGGAAAATCCTTCTCTAAGGATTACATCCTGATTGTGCATCGAAGAATCCATACAGAGAGAATCCTTATAAATGCAATAATTGTGGGAAAGCCTTCAGTGCCAGCTCTTCGCTTTATCAAGTATAAGAGGACCCACACAGGAGAGAAGCCTCACGAGTGCAACCAGTGTGGGAAGTCTTTCAACCACCACTCTTCCCTTGTTTTGCATCACAGAATCCATACTGGAGAAAAAACATATAGGTGTAGAGTGAGAAAAATCCTTCCCCAATGTTTCCCACCTTATTGTCTATCTGAGAATTCACATAGGAGAGAAGTCCTATGTATGTACACAGTGTGGAAAGGCCTTTAATATCTCATGCTTTATTAAACAGAGAAGTCAAACCAGAGAGAGATCCTATGGATGTGGAAAATCCTTCAACTGCAATGGTCACCTCATTGTGCATTAAAAAAAAATCACTCTGGGGCACCTGGCTGGCTCAGTTGTGAGAGCATGCAATTCTTGATCTTGGGTTGTAAGTTTGAGCCCCATGTTGGGTGTAGAGATTACTTAAAATCTTAAATCATTCTGGAGAGAAACACTATGAGTGTAAAGAGTGTGGGAAAACTTGCACTGAGAGCTCTTAGCCTCATTTGGTACCAGAGAATTCATTTTAGTGAGAAACCCTATGGCTGTAACCAGTGTCAAAATCTTCAGGAACGTCACTGGTCTCATTCGGCAGGAGAGGACTCATACTGGTGAGAAACCTTTATGAGAGTAATCAGCAAAGCTTCTGGGACAGCTGATGTCTGTCCAAGCACTAGAAGATACATTCTCAGGAGACCTTGTACCAGTGTTTCAAGTGTGGGAAAAGTTTCCAGAATAGCTCTGCTTTTTTTTTTTTTTT